GAGTAGTACTAGCTGCCATGCGGTTCATCTCCCTCCCTCCTAATCACACCCCACAAGATGGGTACTGTTGCTCCTTTTTACTGGAGGGGAAACTGAAGTTCAGGAACGGTGACTTACCGAAGGTTACATTGCAAGAAAGAGGTGAGGCCAGGACAGGAATCTTGGTCTTTCTGGCTCCAAAGTCAGCAAAAAAAATTTTTTTTTTCATCCTCATGGTGCCCCTTGCTAATTTCCCTGCTTGCTTCTGAAATGACTGGTAAAGTCAAATTAGATTGGCGAACGGGCTTTGGAAAAAAATGCCATAAGATATGATTCAAATGTCAGAGATGATTCATGCTCAGTGAAACAGGCTCATACCCTGAAGCTGCAGATGAAAACTCAAAACTCGTGGATGAGGAACATAGATCTGTGTAAGTGACACGGGTGTCGCATGTGGCTTTCTCGAATTCAAGCTCTGCAAGTCATGTTACGGAGGGATAACTTCCTGCCTCAGGATGAGCGTTTAGAGGAACTCGGAGGGAGGTATTTTCGTGGTCGTGTTAAAAACTCAGGGTCAGATGCACTTAGCGTCACACGTCAAAGCGTAAACAAGCCTGGGGCCGGACACAGCTCCCTTCAAATAGGCTGGCTCCCGGGGTGCGGCTCATTCTGCAGCAGGCGGAGCGAGGAACAGGCAGGATGAAGAAGTTATTTGTGTTTGCGCTCCTTCTCACCTTCCTGACCTTCTCAGGTGAGCATTCACTGCAAAAACGCAGCCTGTTTCTAGGCGGACGTGATCAACTGAAATAAGTCTAGTTTATGTTTTTAAGGTTTTTTTTTTCTTCTTATTTCAAATAAGATGTGTATTTTTTGTATAAGTACTAAATATTTAGATGTGTTTGAATACTAATTCTCAAAAACGCTGATAAATTTTGGAGTATGCCTTCTTTTAGCGTTCATACGAGATCACAAAATTCGGTAGACTTTTATTTGCTGATGCCTTTTAGAGTTTGTGTGTGTTTATGAAAACATAATATAATTTTATTACCAAATATCTTCTTTGAGGGACCATGCGTGATGACCAAGTTGAACATAATCTTGTTGTCACCGGGTATATTCCAATGACAGCTTTAACTTGGTTTAGTGTATTGAGGATTTAAAAAAAAAAATCCCACAAGGCAAACCTACAGGACGAGAAACACATGGACTGGAGGACTGGAGAAAATATGTCTTAAAAGACATGTAATTAACACCCACTTATGAAGGAACGGGCCATTGCAATTGGTAAAGATGTCTAAGCTTGCAGGGCTGGCTCTGAGGCAACCGTATTAGAAACCATTCAGAATTCCTCTCCAAGCCGCCTGGAATGCCAGGTCCCCTGGGACAGGCCCCGGTGAAAGAACTTTTGTGTTTTGACTGAAATTGAACTTGCTAATCATTTGCCTTGCACTGTGAACTCGTGTGCCCCGAGAGTCCCTAAGGCCCTGTCCTGACTTTTCCAGGGGCCTCCCCGATTCTGATGGAAAAGGAGGCCAAACAGCTCCTGAGGTCCCGGCGCCAGGACAGGCCGAGCAAACCCGGGTTCCCCGACGAGCCCATGCGGGTGAGTGCTGGGCTCAGAAATGAAAATGGGTGCGGGTCCCAGCCCAGCGGGGTCTGCGGGATGGAGGTTCTGTTAGACCCGGAGGCAGGTGTCAGGTGACCTCACCTTTCACTCTGGCCTCTCCTCCTCCGATGGGGCCAGCTTCCTTGCCTGCTGCTCACACCCTATTTAAAATGCCAACAGTGGGTCCATGGCGGATCCCAGGATTCTGAGTAGCCTGCTGGGTGTCAGCTCTGAATGGGTGCTAAAGAGCTGTGCCCCCTAGCAGTCACCAACCCCATCTTCTCCCTCTTCCCTTGGGGTCTGGGTGGGCTGGACCACGGCGCCCTTGGCCAACGACAGCCTCTCTGGGCAGGCAGAAGCTCTGCTCCAGCCGCCTGAGGGGCTCTGCCTTTACCTTGTGCCTCGGATTTTGGTCTTTGGCCTCAGCTCTGCCCTGTGGGTTTGTGGTGTCTGCTGCCTGGTCTTTTGAAACAAGCCCCCCGCCCTCTGCCCCCCACTACCTCCATCTCGTGATGGTGATCCTGGTGGATGTTTCTAGAACCTGCCA